ATTACATTTTATATTATTTTTTTAGATCATATTTACCACTCTCCAAAATCACTTTTTTCAGTGCAGTACTCACACTGAGACTTGGGGTCTTTTTATCCTCACTGAGTCTTCGTCAGAGTCGCTTCTCTCTCCTGCTTTTGAAACCGTCTCACTGTGTCTCTGAGCGTCTTGCTCATTTACACTCTCCTTCTCTCTGTCTCCTTTGTCTTGCCCACAGCTGTGAGCATCTCCTTGCCCTCCTCCTTCCTTCCCGAGTTTCCGCTCATTCTCCACCTGCTTCCAGCTTTTCGTCAGGGAGGACACCATGTTGGAGCACTTCCTGCGGCGCGTCGGGGAGCTCTTCTTCTTCAGCAGCTGGTCAATCTCATCACCCAAAGGGAGAGATTCCCTTTTCAGCTTCTCAGCCAGGAAGCCGACACCTGAATGACAGACAAAGTAAAGTAAAGCAGTTCTACTTTTACTTGAGTACAATTTTTGGAAACTTCCAACTCTGGTAATATTAGAATATCTGATCCAATCTGGAAGGTGGCGGTACAGCACCTTAAGTTGTTTGCCAACCACCACTAAAACAGAAGAAGAAGAAGAAGCCACCTGTGCTTTTCTCCTGGATGCCACTGGACACGGTCTTCACCACCTGCTTTGTTTTGATGCAAGATGGCTGATCGTTTGCGGTTTGAACGTCGTCATTGCTGGGCGCTCCCTGGGATGGAGATGTTCGAGTCTCTGAAAGTGTCTCCAGATTTGGTTGGGTTTGTGCAGAATGAGGCTTTTTAGGGGCCCATCTCTTTTTGGGTTCCCCTGGTTGGTCGTTGGACGACGGCGCCCAGCCGCTGGGCTCGCTGGCTTGCTTCTTCTCGTTTTCCGCCACCCACTGCTGCCAGCCGCTCGTCAGGCTGCACACCATGCTCACGGCGCGCAGCTTCCTGAAGCTCTTGTTGGTTGAAGGTTTCCTTTCAGAGGTTTCACCAGCCGCTTTTTCAGACATTTTTCAAATATTAAAGATTCTGTAATTGCAATAAATAAAAATGTTTTTGCCTGAATTTCTGGAGATTTCTCTCCGTGTGTTGCTTTCTAACCTCACGCTTGCAGCTGTAGCCTCTGAAATGGACAGAGGAAACCCTAACATGACGGTGGAAAGTATTTCAGTCATCCCAGGCTTCCAACGCGCTCATCTTTCTCTGACATCGATGACCCCTGCAGGGTCATGTTTCATCACAGATAGCAGAGCTTTTAATCAGCTGTAAGCAGGGCAAAGGCGAGTCCAAATGGTCATTGAATGCTTTTTATTTAAAACATTAAAATGTTTTTTGACAAATTTTGAATAAAAATTGGAATTTGTGACAAAATAGATGCAAAAGAAACTAGCTTGAAAACAATGATACCAGGGCTGGATTTACAGGGTGTGGAAACTGTTTTGGTGCTAATGAAAATTACAGTACTTTAGTAGGTAAGGTACGAAAGTACTAAAGTACCTTACCATCAGTACATGATAATCAGTTATCTGATGATAACTGATTATCATGTACTGATGATAACCTTGGTACATGCCTAATTGTGTATTATTATAACAGTTATAATTATACACAATTAGGCATGTACTGATGATACCAAGGTTTAATCCGTTCTTTGGCCTCTACCTCCATGTTAACCCCAAAAATACTATAACGTCATAAAGTTCAAATACTTGAATACTGTTATTACAATTCACCTGGTACTTATACTTTATATAAGAGGGCTTATGACTCTTATATAAAATACAATGTCTGAAAAATAAGCATTCATTAAAAAACTTAAAGTCTTTGGGCCTCCCCAAAATAATAAATTGGCCCAGCTTCTACCTATTTTTATTAGGAAAGTGTCTTGAACTTACTAAGAAGTGGGAGGCCTTCAGAGACTTTATCTGTCTTCAAATCATTTCCTCTTTTAACTAACAAGCCAAACTTAAACGTGTTGTCACTATTACATAAAGACGTAACATCTGGTCAACATCACTATTTTGACTAAACCACCTGATTAGAAGCAAACTTTAACAAAAACTGCAGGTGTGTGTCTGCGTCTGGTGATTTTTAGGTTAAATCAGATTTTTTTCCTCCTATTCAATAAAGTTTTTCACAATGCTTGGAATATCCTGAGATTTCACTCAAATAAAAGTAAAAAGAACAAAAATACTGTTTTTTTCTTCAAAAATACTGAGTAAATGTAATTACTACACAACTCTGCTGACCAGTTTGAAATACAAGAAGCATTAGTGGGGCATAATTACTTAATTTATTTACATAAACAGAAAAATAGAGTCAAACTACAGCAAAAGTAAAGCGTCTGAAATCCCTTGTTTTTCAAAACCTGTGGTTGTTCTGGTTCAAGACCTTGTGTTTTATGGTAACTTTTTTTTATATAATTGAGTGTTTTAGTTTTCATCCGCGTGTTTACAGAACCAGCTGGTTTATAAATAGCAGCTGGCACATGGATGCAGCAGCAGCTGTTGGGATCTGTCACAGAAACCAGCTTCTGTAAGCCAACACTTCCTGATCCAGATCAGCAACTTAAAGAAAAACTGGCAAAGTGAGATCCTATGTATCAAGATCAGAAATAAATCAGCACCAAAACACTAATTAATGTGATAAGTTTTGATTTAATTGTTAAAAATATGTCAAAATCTGCTTTAAGAAATGCTTTCCGAAAAGCTATATTTCCGCGTTATCAGACACACTTACAGTAAGTAACCACAAAAATGTCTGACAGATTTCCTTGATATTTTTAGACTCAGATTCCTGTTAAAAGTGTCACAGCAATGTCTCTGTCATTTTCAGGTAATCATGACTTCCTTGTTTTAAATCATACAAGACGGACGACATTCATTAAACTGCAGAAGTTTGGTCAGTATTGCAGTTTTTGCAAAGACAGAATAAATAAAATTACTCACAAAAAATGCGCATTTTTCAAGAGGTTTTTGTAGCTCAAGTGGTCATGTATGTTTTTTTTCCCCATTAATTGGGATTTCCAAGAGAAAAAAAATACCATTATCTACCACTAGAGGTCAGCATAATATTGGTTAAAAGCACCATAAGTGAACGAATTGCTTTGTGTTTCAAATTTATCTCCATAAATTAGAATATCGCTGAAAGTTGATTCATTTAAGTGATTCAAAAAGTGAAATGTAATTTCTTTATGCACAAATGGTTTAATTTTTTTATTTTTTGTCATTTAATTATAACACCATAAACCCGGCAAAGTTCAAGGAAAACAATATTTAAAGCAAAATATGACCATGGAGACTGCTGCTGACCTGGCAGTTGTCCAGTTCAGCAGCAATCAAGTACATTGATGGAAAGTTGAGTGGAAGGAAAACATGGTAGACAAAACAAGGAAAAATAGCAGAAATAACCAAGTTTCCCTTTTTAAATTGAATTACTCAAAGTGTTTGAGAATATTTTAATATATTCAGATTCACCTGCATATAATAAAAACTTACAAATGCATTTTCATCTGCCCAGCACCAAGTGTAGGCGCTTCTTAAAACATTAAATATTTATTCATGATGAAAGCCAATGGGAGTTTGGCGATGCAACGGCTGCTGATTAACAGTTGTAAACAATTTTTAAAAATGAAGCGGAACCCCACTGATGAATTATGAAGTGTGCAACAAATGGCGCAAAAGCTCCTGTGAAGTTTATAATTAAAAGAGGTGGAGTTTTGAATAAACACCTGAAATCTCAGACCGACTGTGAAGCACGGTGGTGGAGGTGTAATGACTTGGGCACCTATATGCTAAATCTTCTCCAGAACCACCAAATAAAGGAAAGTAAAAAATAAAAACATATGGTTCTGTAAGGGCTGTAAGATTTCAACCCTAAACATGGTTGAAATCTTGTGGTGGGACTTTAAGGAAGCAAAGTGCTACAAGCTGAAGGGTTGTGAAAAAGAGAGAGTTTAAAATCTTACAAAATAATGCAAGAGTCAAAAGTTGTTAGTAAAGTTATTGCTTTTGTATGGTGTGGTAAAAATGCAGTCTTGAAATTGGGTCTCTGTCTCTTTAAGAAGCTCCTGCTCTTTCAGGCACTTCGCCTTCAGCACATCATCATGTTTCTCTTTTACGCCGTCGTTCAGCGCATTGCATTTAAATACTGCATCAGCTCTGCAACAAATACAACTTCAGGACTCGCACAATTTATCAGTTGACAGTTTTTGCCTTCCAAACCATTTTTATGCGTACAATGATTCTATCCAGGATCACATGAAAAATAAAATAGGACTAATTCTTTTTTCAGCTTGAATTAATTTCTCCAGCAAGTTTACAGTTTTATCAAAAAAAAAAAACAAAAAAAAAATTCAGAAATGACAACAGAGAAAGAAACTGTACAGACACAAGCTGAGTAACAGGTGAGGTAAGTTTGTGAGGCGGAGCTTGTATTTCAGTATCAGGACATTTTCTGGAACACGAACACCAAGTAGATACCTGCAAAATAACAAAACAGGGAGCTGCAGTCATCATTCTGCTCAGACGTCGCCTTTATAAAAATAATTCTGACCTTTTGTTACGTTTCTTGATCAGAAAACGTAGCATAAAATATTATATGATTGAACTTACTTGATGCATCCCACTCAGATTTGCTCAGGGTTCCCTGTTCACACAGAAAACAGAGTTAGACCGAGTAGAACCGGCAGCCATGTTGGAGCTGAGAGCTGACTCACCACTGGTGGTCTAACTCCAGGTCTGCTGCAGTGCTCTTCAGCATGGCAGTACTGCTCCTTGTTGTCGGTAGCCTGCTGACCTCCATCTTCACAGGGAAAAGGCTGAGACACATCCACACACAGTGTTAGCATCATACTGATAAAAATAAAGTTAGGAGAATGAAGTCTTTGTTTTTCTTTGAAAAACTGAAAACTGTATTTTTTTATAAATATATTTTTCTTGTCAGTGGGTTGAGAATTGGTCCATTTTTATTTCCATTTATAGATCTAATTTTCTAGAAATATCTGCATCCCGCAGAAGAAAATATTACGCAAAACTTTTTTTCTTTATTTTAAAACCTAAAGATGGAAACAAATAGCAGTTCTTTAAAAACGACTGGCAAATTTCCTGCATCAAAAACCTTTTTTTTAAAAAAAAAAAGATACTTTAATACTTTTTTACATTTATGTGTATATATATTTTTTTTTCAGTAGATTTTTATTTTTAAAAAATTCTGCAAATTTTCTTCTGTAAAATTTGCAGAAAAAAGCTATTTAAGTGCAATAAGGTGTTGCCATACAAGGAGTGATGTTTATTTCTGAAAAACACACAAAAATACAATAAAACGTATTGATGAGGTTTCTCCATTTTTCACAGCTGTAAATAAATAAAAAAATTTTTTCTTGCTCAACAGTTTTGTTCTTCCAACAAAAAGCAGAAATTACAGGCATTTTAATCCAGGAACCTTATTTGAAAACGGAGAAATGGCAGCAGATCATCTGAATTAGCGAGACACAAATAATTAGAAACCAGGTGGGACTCAGTCTGGTTTCATGCCTTTCCTGGCATTCAGTGTCTGACCTTTTTGGAGACTGCATGACTTTTTTTTAACATAAAATCCAACCTCTCTGCTTGTTGCTGTTATTTAACATCTATGTACAGACTGGAAACGAGAGTCCTGTATGAGCAGGAACTGTTTTTGTTTCTATAAATGTCTGAGGAATGTCATTTCTCATTTTTAAAGCTAACTCCAAAGAACCGGTTTAATTTGTAGAAATAAAATCTGTGTTGTTTTTACAGTGTAGTTGACAGAATATGCTACTTTATCTCTACTTTATAACATCTATTTGGAGCTTGAAGGAACTGTAAACATTGAAAGTAGCACAGATTGCCGACATTTATGTTTAAAAAACATATTCTAGCTTTGTGTCACAATTATGGGAATCATCATCAAGGTTTTCCTTTGCCATTAGTGTTATGATTGACAGAAGAGCCACAGTTTTACCTCCAGAGCCATCATCTTCATCATGAGGCTGCGGTGATTCTCCTTTTTCACCTTTTCCTCAAAGAACTCTGAGAACCGCTGCTTCAGCACCAGGCGCATGTTGTACCGCTTCGCCATGCTGGAACGCAAGTTTGGCAGCATTTAGAGAAATCTGAAGCCAC